CTGTAGCATATAGAAATCACAAAACACAGCCCTAAGCCATGAGAACAAAATAAATGTCAAACTGGACAAAAAAACTCCATCTGCCACTTCCTCTATGGCACAGGCACAGGCCAATAACAAGGTTATTTGGCTGTTGGTATAGCTTTGCTGCTCATGCTCTTTGCCTACAGGTGATCTGAGAAAAACCCCAATAAATTTAGCCATTCTGTCAACAAACCATTGGGAGACGTGGATATGAAGAAAGTGCAGCTATTTATTTCACCATGAAAAATAAATATGTCGAAGGGGCGGGGGGGTTAAGTCAAACAAAGCGGAATGGTCTGGTGGAGACAACTGAGCTACATAAAACTTCCAATTTAAAGCGTGAATTTTGCTTCCAGCCATTTTTTTCCTCTCCTTTACCACAGCTTTATTAAAGTTCCAGCTTATTTCCTGTGCATATAGCTTTTACAAAAAGTATATCCATTACAAGTGTTTCTTTTTTGAAAACCTAAATCTTTTAGGCCATGGATGTTTAAAGGGAAGATATTGGGAAGGGGAGTTAACAGGAAAAAAGGAGGCTTTGTCATCTCATGCTCCATCTCTGTTATGCAGCTCCAGGTATACATGCTAATATTGCTTCCACTCCTCTCAGCAGAAGGAGCCAGAGACATCAAAGCAAATTCTGTGAAGAAGGGAGATGAGAAAGAAAGAGGAAAGGAGACCAAAAACCCCGAAGAGACAGAGGATGGCAACAGAGGACAGATACCAAAATGCTTTGTGTGTCACTACAATTGGGCTTTTCCTTCATTAACTACGGACCATTTTCTTATTTATATGGATCCTAGTGTATCATTTAAATGGGGCATAAATAATTTTAATCTTGTCACGTAAAAATCACATTGGTATATAATAACACATCCAAAAATATCTGGAAAATTAAAGGTTATTCTTACAATAAGCACCGAACTCATCATCTTCTTTTTCAACAAAAGCTTATAAAGCAGACCATCAATGACTTAAAAAAAACACTTAAAAAAGATAACATTACAACCATTCAAACCAGAAGTTTATATATACTGCATCCACCTCATGTTAAGTAATCCTCACTTTTTTGCATACCCAAATAGAAAAGTAAATACCTATAGAACTGCAAGGCCAAATTACATGTGTGAACCGCTGAACAGCTTCTAGTTTTTGAAAATATAAAAAAAAAAAACTGAGACTAAAACCCAGCCTAAACTGGATCAGTGCAAACATAAAACTCATAGTTTTTTTCTTCTTCTTGAATAGGAGTAACAAATACATAATTGATAGCAGGCATGTGTCATTACATTACATTTATTCTGCATCATGCCAACCCAAATTGTCACACCTCTAGGCATAGCAGTGTCAGAGTTATAAGGCTTTTAACTTCTTGTGTCACCAGTGTCTCCAAACGTACCAAATTATGCCAAATTGTGGTTATTAGTTTTACACAAAAATTTGACCCCAAAAAAAAAAAAAAAAAAAATCAAAAATATCACACTGAAGCATTTTGATGGCCACAAAACATTTTTGAAACAATGTCTCACTGGGTGTGGATATCACTGTGACTTGGTGGCCGCTCTCGTTCCGCTGGTTTGTTTTTGTTGAGCCCCTGCCATTATTGATGCATTAGTGAGAGAACGGGCGACTGTTTCTGAAGATGGATCACAGAAGACCAGCTACAAGCGCACCCTGAACCCCATCACAGATTCTGCACAAGAAAATAAAAAACTAGTCTAGTGCAACGAGCAGGGCTGGAGTCGAATCTTAAGAGTGTAAGTAAAGGGACAGTTTTTAACAAATAAAGGGAGATCGGATCTGCCCTAGGAATGAAAAGGGACCCAAAGTTGGTCCCCTTTTTGCTAAATAGGCAAGATGCATTGATCAAAGCATAGTTAATATTTATAACTTTTTATCTCATAATAGCCATTATGTCTCTGAACCTAAGCTCTTTGCAGTTAGAGCAGCATAATGTGGGGCTTTTTCTGTACACCAATGCAAATGCAGAACACTGGTGTCATCTGAACTTGTTGCCAGAGTGGACAAATGTCTGAAAAAACTCTGGAACTTGCTCTATGTTCATTTAATACAGAGAATTTCAGCCATGCCTTCTTGTTCAACATAGGTGCCTGGTCTCATAATTGAGCTTCTCAATGTGTGGTCAAAACTTGCAAACAATAAAGTGCTAAAATGTCCCAGACCCATGGAAATCCTTCCCAGAGAAAGGGCAGGGCATTATATCATACACAATAGATTCCTTAAGTAATTTCTCTGGTCAGTTAGTATAAATGGTTATTTTATAATGCATTGGACCAATACACACTATGCAGTAAAACCCTCAAATCAATATCAAGAACAAAATGTCATAATACTGAAAAAGAAATAATAAAATAAGAGTCATTTAAGTGTAAGAGTCCAGGGTTAAGGTGCATCAGCCACAAAACGGTTTGTAATGTAAAGCTTCACTGTTACTCAATTGCTAGGTGGCGCTTGAAATCTTGGTTTCTTGAGTTTACCAAATCTAGAGTGTGATTCAAACATTAGTCTGACCTCCTTAAAAAAAGCAGATGATAAATGCAAATGAGCCGCTTGATTAAATTATGAAATGATTAACATTCCCAGTGCAGATCAGAGCAGGTTTCTTAAGCTACCCTGGTTGAAATGCTAATGGAGCCTCAAACTCTCTTTAATGTCAATCCTGTTCGACTTTTTCCCCAAGTTAGGGAGGGGCTTCTTGTTGCTATTTCCATCCACAACAGCAGGAGGGACAGACAGCAGGCTTATTACCCAATCTGTGTTTGGAGAAAAAGCCCAGGACATGATGAGATGAACGAACAGGAGGGTAGGTCCTCTTGTCCATGAGGGATTTTCTTTTCTTTTCTCCCATTTCTACAGCTACAGCTTTTCCTCAGCAAATATCCAACCTATTTTTAAAGCCCATGATAATAATAATAATAATAATAAGTCCATGTGGGGAGAGAGTGATGAGTCTGTCTTTAATGGTGATCAAATGTCTTTTTTTTATTCCGTTTCTCCACTCTCAAGTTTCAGAGTTTAACCCAATATCCCAATCCAACAACAGACATTTGATTTGACAGACAGTAAGCTCTGATTAGAGCAGTGTCTAAAAAACTAAACAAACACACAGTTTTTGCAGTGTAATGTCAACTGAAATTAAAATTTAATGCAAAGAAAAATAACTACGGTAAATATGTTTTATATGAATACACATGTAAACCCACAATATATAATCAGAATGTGGTTAGAAAAATATAAATAAAAAAAATATTAAAAAGAGGATGTGATTAGCTTGCTCTGATTGTCAAGAAATGTATTCGTCCAACCTTAGAACAGTAACTGGCTCTCAGACATACATCATTGTTCTAAGTATTGATTTAAAGTACATGAACAGATGGGGATTCATTTTATACATGTTAGGAATTATAAGAGCTACAATCAGAAGCTTACATCATGTTGGCGCTCTCAAATTATTTATTGATAATCATAGTGGATGTTAACTTAAGGTAATTAAAAATAAATAAGAGCACAAAAAAAGGCTGAATTTTTATACATCGTATGAGAATATTTGGGTTTAACTGTATCTCCAAAACTGCTGTTCAATTTTTAACTACGGGGTAGTGTGGTTAAAAGAAGCAAAGTCGACAAGTGGGAAGAAGATATGTGAGGCATGTTAAACTAATTTAAGCAGATGAGTATCAGATAATCGAAAAATGCCTCACAGAAAAAAAAGAATAAAAACTAGGGAAGAAACTGAATTTTTTTAATTATTAATTGATTTTAAAGTAGACTGTAGAGACTATTAACATAATATTTAATCTCACTGCTAAATGAATGCTCTAACATTTAGAAGATTAATTTTTCTGATTTTTTAGGATGAGATCATGCTATTGCAATAAAGCATCTATTTATTTTGAGTCATTATAAAGGGGTCCAATAAATGTGGCTGGCACTGTACTTGCTCATTCAACATTGGGCATCATCTCAGTACTCGCAAAACCAAATAAACAATTCTCAAACTGGGCTTTCGTTATGTTTCCTCTTTGCAGCACACAAGTGAAGTTCTGTGATTGCAAATTAGTCTTTTGCAGGGTTATATATTCAAAGATATTTCCCCAAACAAACACAATGGTAGGTGTTTCTGAAACCACATTCTGGCGCCTGCACATGAGGTGAAAACAACTGCAAATAAGCCATCACAGCTCATAATTAGAGTGAAACACAGAGTACAGAGCCTATGCTGCAAAGTCTAAAGAAATGTTTGTTATTGTTAGCTTTAATAAAAGCTGGGCTGTTGACTACAGTTCTACCTCATTTAAATCTGTATTCCAAACGTCAAAGGGCTACTGGAGCCGCTAACTCAAAGGCAACCCGAGATCAGTGCGGGGATATGGGAGTGACAGCAGCGAGGGAATTAGTGATGTGATGACTGTCAACACACAATCAGCTATGCAGTATAGCTACAAGGCTCACATTGTTTAGACTGGACTTATCAGATTTCTGAACATAGAGTTGAATTGTTTGCAAAACAGCCCAAGCTGTCACTCACTTATAGCAGAGGCCCTCAGAAGCATGCTTCTGATTGACTGTGTTTTTTAATATGCACATGATGATGGCTATCAAAGCTCGTCTTTGAGAGCGATACAGCACAGAATGGATTTCATCTGCTTTCAGTGGCTGATATGATGAAATACAATGACATGATAGTCTGTTTTACTCTGTGAAGCATGGACAAATGCCAAGGTTCCCTAATGAGTGCTTCTGTCTGAGTATCAGGGCACTAACCAGGAAGAATTGGTCCTTTTTGTCAAGAAACATGACCTTTACAATCGTAACATGGCATCAAGCTTCATTTCTTAAATGTTTGAGGCAACGCTTTGGTGTAAGGAAATGGACTGACTTCTGGGCTAAAACATGTAGTTAAACTGTGCAAGAGATGGAGAAGCAAAGCCCTTTTGTTGACAGTTGGCTTTTACCTTTGGGTCAGCAGTCAGCAGCTTAAAAGCCTCATACACCTGCCTCTCTTTGACACCGCCCCCGAGGTCCAGGAAGTTAGCAGGCTTTCCCCCATGGAGGTCAATGATGTCACATGTTGCCATGGCAAGACCGGCTCCATTGACTGCACAAAAGAAAAAAAACATCAGAAAAAGTAAAGTACTAAACACCCAAAACTTTATTTACAAATATTCTTCCGGTGAGGCTATTGACTTTCAATTCAACCCAATCATGGCACATTCATAGAAATCAACATAAACTTGTCCATAAATTAAGTTAGGAGTAATAAAGTTGGATGACTAAGGAATTCCCTATGGAATGCATAAGGGAATAATCTAAATAAGACTGGATTTTTTAACAAAACACTCAAGAAGAATTCCACACGGTTTCAGGAAAAAATAAAGCCACAAAAATAAAAAAAGAAAGAACTTAAGATAGACTTTACTGTCAAAAGTGTTTGCTCATCCATCTAAATAATTAAAGCCAGGTTTTCCAAACCCTTCTAAGGCTACAGGTGCATAAAAACAAGCCCGCAGGCATTTAGACTTTTTCTAAGAGAACATTTTAAAGATTAGAGGTTGCACTCAGGAGCTCAGTCGTTCCATCATGAGGCTTTAACAGGATGCCAAATATTAATAGGAAAAGTTGTAAAATTTCCTTGCAACTAAATATTTTACTTTTATAACAATGTACCGGTAATTTGGAAATACATCAACCCAGCAAAGGACAGATCTTTCTAGAACGGGTGTTGACGCATCTGATGGAGATGCAAACTTGCCTGGCTGTGTTTTTCAAGTGCTCAGTATTATTGTGGGGAGATTATGTGTCCTTTTTCTTTCCCCTCTCTCTCATTTTTCTTTCTTTCCAGGAGCTGAACCTGGTTTGCTTAGTTCCAGCAAAAGCAACTAAGACTGATTGGGCATACAAACATATTTTGGACATTCCAAGGCCTGAAACTTTTATGGGAACCATTTGGAGACTGCTCCTTCATCTTTCAACATGACTATGCATAACCAATGTCTATAAATACATGGATAAGAGAGATTGGTGTGGATGGTAGTCTGCACAGAGTTCTAACCTCTAACCGACAGAGCACCTTTGGAGTGACTTTTAAGGGGCAGAATAAAGCTAGTTTTTCTGCATTAAAAAGGTTAGGAGAAAAAGGGAGAATCCCCTGTATGTTATACTGTGTTGGCTAAAATATTTGTTAATTAGAGCAATACTTATTAGATTGAAGAGCTAAAGGAAACTAGAAATGCTCTCACCAGAAACATCGAAATCCAACCTCATCTCTTAACCTCACAGAGAAAACATTTACAGTACAGACTGCAGGTTTTTATAAAGGACTGTCATCGTTTACCTAAGTGCCTGTACAACTACCCTGCTGGGTTGTGCAGCGTCCAATAGCACATGTATGTCTTACCTCATTTGGTTTAGACAAGCTGAACTTGCGTCCTGGCAAGCTCCCCGACTGAGGTCTCAGTAAAAGGGAAATTTGCTTTAACAGCTGTCACTTTGGTGCCTTGCGGAGCTCTCAAGGAAGCTGCGGGGTCTTAAAAGCTGTTGTTACTTTAAAAGAGTGGAAGCTGGGGATGTGGAATTGGGGGCGAGCGGTCGTGCTCAGAGGGGGAAGAAGTGTTGACAGACATTCAATGTGTTTAGGAGGCTACCGGGTAAGGAGCCAGAGCACCTGTTAGGGCTGCTGTAAACTGTAAAAGCTTTATGACAAGAGAGAAGGCCTTTAATGAGAACCCTAACAATCTGGCTCACTAGAGACTTTGTGGGTAGATTATAGCTAATTAGAATCCATTGGTTATGGCAGCATTCATTTCTGGGATCTTCAAAAAGCTGCTGGTAAACCAGATGGGAGCCTCGCTGGTATCCCTTAGTCTTTCATCGTTTTAGATTTGTTACCATCTTAAAGCCGTTTGACATGAGGTGTCATTCTACTGCAAGCGACTCATTTATTTGTACGCCCAGGTAAAAGAATTTTCTTCCAGGGTTTATATCCTACCAAAGCAGGCAATGTTTCCGTCCATTCCAATATATTTAAGATCCCACTTGGCCGCCTCCATCTCTGTGGCGTCGCTCTCAGTCATGTCATCCATGGCGAACACATCTTTCTGACGGAACTCAGCGTTGTCATCAAAGTTGATCTTGGCATCGAAGCAAACCACTAGGAAGACAGGTAGGCAAAAGAGGGGACTGTGAAGGCAGAGTTACAGAGTCAGGAAAAGCAAATAACTGGAAAATGGTAGACAAGGGAAAGGAAAAAGATGGGTGGCAGATAGACACTTAAATTTGGAAGTAACATATCTTCATAAGCATAAAATAGCTAAACTTCCCATACATATTTAGATGTTGCAAACAAATGTCCTACTTGTCAACAAGGTCTGCAAACCCAAAACCAAACACAGATATAAACACAAGGCAAACAGAATCTTCTGCAACATAAAACCTGAAAAACTGTTTTCTTTATGGTAGGGTATGGTTTTGACCAGGAGTTTTCTTCTTGAAAGATGTACTATCAAGCTTTACCTAAAACTATGGTTTGGATTACGCCCGTGAGATAGAAACTGTGTTACCTGGCAACATCTAAATAAACTGAACAAGATTGAAGCCTCTTAAAAAAGCTTGCTTAAATCCTGACCTTGCAGCACACAGAACAGAAATATTTAAATATCACAGCATAAATCAAGTGATTTAAAGTCATTTTTCCTAACGACATTCAAAAGTAATAAACTCTTGAAAACATATATTCGTTTTACTTATAAAACATTTGAGCAAGAAGCTGTTCTTGAGACTTTGACATCTAAGTAGGGAGGAATCTTGCTGCGGTTCTATGTCTTAGCAGGATATATCACACAGCAGCTATTCAGTTTCAGAGGCAAAAATATATTTATACATGCTTTTTTTTTACCTCTATGTTTCTTAGAAAAGTGTTTATGACGAGTTTAACAAAATCAGTACTGCAAGGTGAGAAGTGATTTGCAGTGACTGTGTGAACGACTTTTTCCGATGAATGAGCAGCACTTTAAATAAAACCGTGTCAAAATGTGCAGATTTACTACAAAAAACAGTCAGAATGAGGCGTTTTTTCTTTAATTTAAGAGGATAGGTTTAATCCCTGGAAGATTAATATGCTAACTGATACTAACTTTTTTTTTAAACATTTGTGGGGAGTGATGGCCTAGTGCTTAGGGCATAGAGCTTGGAATCCAGAGGTTCTGAGTTCAAGCCCCATTCCCACAGACTGCTCTTTGGCTCCCTGAGCAAAGACCCTTAACCTCACACTGCTTCCCGAGCGACGCACAATGGCAGCTCACTGCTCCCTAAGGGGATGAGTTAAATCCAGAGAGATCATTTCATTGCTCTGTACTTGTGACAGTGTAATAACAATAAAAAGGAAAAGAGAAAAAAAGGAAAAACTGTACTCGGGCAATGTTTGAGCTGATTATTTTAAACATGCAGGTAAAATGGGGTAAAAAACTTGTACGGTAATTGGAATCGATGACTCTCTCAACTCCAAACCTTTTATTGATAAACTTGCTAAGAAAGTTAAACTGGGCTTCTTCTTTTGTAATAAGACAGGTCTTTCTTAAAAGTGCCTCGTCTCTGCCATATTTTTATCGGTCTTAGATTATGGTAACCTTTTTTATAAGAATGCTACTTTTTAATGTCTTCAAATGTTGGAGTCTGTTTACCATGCTGCATCAAGGTTCATCACAAACTGCAGAACCATGACACATCACTGTGACCTGTACTCTCAGGTGGGATGGCCTTCCCTCTCTACAAGAAGGTAGCATCATTGGTACACTTTTATTTACAAGGCCCTTCTGGATTACTGCCCTCTTACAATAGTACTTTTTTACACTGTACTTTACTTACACTGAAAAGCATGGCTTCTTCTGCCCTGAGAGCCAACAATCAGCTGTTTCTTTAAATGCTTTTAAGTAGAAAGTGAAACAATTTGAAGCAGCCTAAATGATCTGTAATTGTTTTACTTGATATGTTTTTTTGTTTTGTTTTTTTATGTACCTGCCCTTTATTTTAATGTATCTCTGTTTCTTATGTAACTTTGCTGCCTCTTGGCCAGGACTCCCTTAAAAAAAGAGGTTTTTAATCTCAATGGGATTTTTTTCCCTGATTAAATAAAGGTTAAATAAAAAAATAAATAAAACAAATTATGCAAGGTAAATAAATTTGAAGGCTTGTGTGAAATCCAATGATGATTATTTCAGTTATATTTTAACTTCCTGCAAAAATATGCTTAAAAACACCAGGAATCTACAAAATAAAAAAATATATTTATTTTTATTCTCCCACAATGGGGAAATTCTGGTGTTTACATCAGCAAAAAGATTATAGAAGAGTGCATAAAAATAACATAATAGTGAAGACTTAAAAAATAAACAAGCTCCAGTGTCGTCAGCAGGAAGAGTCTGCTCTGAACCTTTTTGTAGAGAGCCTTAGTGTTGTGAGTCTATTCCAGTGTGTTATTGTGGTGAACACCAAGGTACTTATAAGTGATCACCTGAATGACAAACTGAACTGCACTCAAAACACTATATGACACTCATCCAGGATTGCTGTTTGCAATTAAATCTTTTGGCTCAGTTTACACTCTACACAATAAGAAGTAGATAAATAATTTATTTTAAACTGATTGAGCGACTGTCACCCTGAGAAAGTCACATCTTCTCATATAAAATATTTTACAGACACTTATACCATGATGATAAAAAAAAGAAGGTTTAACTCATGAATGGAAAAATCCAATGCATGTACTAATGATTTCTAATCGCAACCCTTTGAGAACAGCTTCCTGTTCAGGGTATTGACTCAGGTTAGTTGTGTAAATTGGCTGATCTGAGATGTCAATAGGAAAACTTTTCATGCCACTAGCATCATTGATTGCGTCTTCGGAACCGACAAGTCGTCATAGTTAGGAAAGTCTACAACTTCACAACTAAAATACATTAAAAAAAAACTGCTCTATGCAAGATTTTGATTTGAAAAAAACCTCTTAATTATCCTCAAATACAAAACGATGAGGTCGTTGGTTATTTTTAACCCCTTAAGATGGCACAGAAAGCAGGTTTTAAAATACATATTATTAATGTGAAAATCCTCAATCAAATCTTTTTGGGATAAGGAGGAACATTGAGTTGATTTGGTTGAAGCAACGCTTTTATATCTGACTACTCAAGTTTGGTTTTATCTAATAATGGTAACAAACACAATAGCAGTAGGCACCATAAGAAAACACAACTCATGCTTTTATGCTCTTGCTATTCGCAGATGCAGCTCATTGGTGGCTAATCTGCACCACTTAATTCTTAATGACCCCATCAACAATAAAGAAAACCCTCTCCAGGCTGCGGCTGGTAGTGATGAGTCCAAATGGAGACAACATCAGGTACTAGATGCTTTTTGTAGTTTAAACTTTAGCTCCTTTATCCTGTTCCTAACACCTATTCCATCCTTTTCCTTAGAGTTACAATAAGAACCCTATCCTGGAAAGACGGGAACTAAATCCAGATAGAACCTAGTGAAGGGTGAAGCTCTCTATTGTAAAACCAAAAACATGTAAAGAAGTATATTTTATTTCCATTTGCGATTAATAAAGTATTTTTGATTTCAAATGTACAAAATTAAATTTGCACGTGTTACAAAAAAATACATGTAAAGAAATAAAATATTTTTGTTAAAGTAGATCCAGTCATGTACATTGATCGTGAGCAACCGTATTGCTGCACAGCTGTAAAAAGGACAATCGAGAAGTTCTTATGCTAAATGATCTAAGGAAAGGAAGCATCCTGCTTACAGTTTCTACCTCCTTCCTTACTGCCAACCCTATTCGGACAGCACTTATCCTGGAGACCGCTGACACACTTCCACTTTAGTTTGAGAGTCCTTACCAATTTGCACTGCAGTCTTGTTCCTTAAAACAGCCACAGAAACTGCCTCAGCTAAAGGACACTAAAAGACTTTGCCATTTTCTGTACTAGCTTTATGCCCCACATCTATAACAGTTTTGGTAGATTTAAGTGGACAGAGGATAAAGTACACTGTTATGAAGAGCGCCTAATAATCGCTTTGCAACCTTTAATTTTAATTAGTTCTAATCTCCCTTTCCTCATTACATATATTAGAATAAAGGAAGACTCCTGCAGCTTGCTCCTTTATTACTCACTAAAGTGACTAAATTCTAATAATCACTGAGGTCTGAATGGTCTTTCAACAGCCTGATCCAGAAATTCCATATGTAATAACTTTTAACTTGGTTTGTTTTTTAGAATACATCAAATCTCTTGAAGAAAAATAAAATATTTATTATAACTTTAAAGAAGTCTTTCTTACACCAATCTAAACTCAGAGGACCTGGAAATACTCACATTCCTAAATCTATGATTAATTTTCTACTTAATTTCTACAGCATATGCTGGACTAACTCTGAATCTAATATTAAGATGAGTCGAATGCACCCGGGAGATTTGAGAGACTCGTTTTTGTTTCTTTTGGATGAGTTTAACATCACTATCAGTACTGAAGCAACTGTGTGGTGTGAAAAAAAACAGTGCTGCTCCCTGAAGCCATCTGTATTTTGAACCAGATAAAGTCATGTTGACAAGTGGCTGATGTCAGTGTGTTGCAATTAGAGTACACTTCACATTCTGCAGCCCGTTCAGGCCCGAGATGATAGCATCTGTAAAACTCACTGTGTTCATTATACTGAAAATAACGGCTATTTTTAAAATCATCAGCAATAAGACAGAAGCAAGGGAACACAGGGATGTATATAAAGAGGCATTTTCTGAGAAACACGGTACCTTGTCCTTCGGGAGTCTCCCCGAGCGGATTGACTTCAACTTGAGTGGCGTCGACTTTCAGGAACAGATCATAGAGCCTCTTAATCTGATCCGCTGCCTGCAAAGTCCACAGACGACAGTAATTACCTGATGGTTTGACTCTGAGCACTCAGCCATCCACTGAGGCCACTCAGCTTTGCACACAAGCTGCATGAAAACAGCTCCCAACATCTCTCTGTTTAGGCTCATTCTGGAATTTGATTTTCTGTCTTTAAAATGGTGTAAACAACAGCTAAAAAGATATGAAATAAAATACAGTGCCAAACACTTTGAGAAAATATTTTTCACTATATATAAAACCATGGACACAAATTGTCAGTATCCCTTTTTAATGAACAGTAAAAACAATTACTTAAATATGACAAAATGTATAATAATAATAAAAATTCATTGGAAATGAATGAATCAAATTCGTCCATTCAGAGATGGGTTTTTACAATGCTTCAATAGAATGAGTATTAAAATGATGGTACCCCTAAAAATCTTGTGAATTGGACAAACTCCATTTTGAAAAGTTAAAAAGCTTCTTGAAGAATAACTTATTAACAGACGAGATAAAAAATGGACCCTTTTGCCAGGTCAGCTCCATGTACAATAGACGTACCTATTAAGCATATCAAGAAAAGAACACTGTCCCTACAGAGATGCACGGAGGAGGCTCTATTATGTTCTGGTGGTGCTTGGCTTCATCTTGGAAATGGTGCCTTGAATCTCTGCAGTGTGTAATGATATTTCAAGACTATCAACGGATTCCAGAGAGAAATGTGCTGCACAGTGTCAGAAAGCTTGGTCTGTCTCAGGTTATATGTTGTGCAACAGGATAATGACCGAAACACACAATTAAAAACACCCAAGAGGTGCTAAGAAGAAAATATTGGACTACACTGAAGTTGCCTTCTATGGGCCCTGATATAAATCCTATTGAGCATCTTTAGAAAGAGCAGAAACTTGATGTCTGGAAAAGGCACCTTCACATTGAGACATCTGGGGCATTTTGCACAAGAGTATTGGACCAAATGACCCGCTGGGAGGAGCAGAAGTCTCACCTAGTGTTGGAGGCATCATTTGATTGCAATGTTTGCCTAAAAGGGTTGTGCAACTAAATATTATAATTTTTCTCCAGGCCCGTATCATTATTTTCTTTTTTTTTTTTTTTATTCTGTTGAAGCATGATTTGAAAAGCAATGTCTGACTTTCATTTGTTCGTTTTCATAAAATTTTTATTCATTATGTCTCCTGTCAGATTTAATTTTTCTGTGAGCATGGTAGGTTTTTCTTTCATTAAATGAGTAGTATAGACAATTTTGTCTACACATGTATTAAAGCGACGCCTCAGGAATTCCAGTAAAGTTAATGATTCCATATGTAGTTAATTTCTAAAACTCACTTTGAGTTCATGTAGTTTCGTGCAAAAGTAATTATTACGCTTCAACTTTGGTACAAACAAAAAGTCCTTGTATTTTGATAGCGTTCTATGCAGCAGCCCCATGCCAAATACTGGATTTAAAATTGCAAAAATGATGTGAATTTAGATTTCTTTTGTCAGTAAAAATCAGAAATGAGCGGAATGCATTCAATTTTATCCTGTCAACAGCCAAATGTATTGCGGTCTGGACTTTGAATCAGTTTTGTGAACTCACTAATTTTTTTCACATTTGAATAAGCTGTTTGTTAAGGATGGTTGTCCTGCTGGAAGATAAACATCTGCCTCAGATGCAAGTCTTTTGCACTCTCTATTAGGCATTTTTCTTCTGTACCCAGTGTTTAGCTCCATCCATCTATCAATCAACTTTTATTGTCTCAGCTGAAGAAAACCATTAAAAGATAATGCTGCAACCATCATGTCTCATTGTGGCTGACATATTTAAAACGAAGTGCTGTCAATCTCTTGTAGAATTTTGCATCTAAAAATAAGATATTATCTCTGGTTTCATCTGAGCAAAGTATCGTCATCTATGTGTTTGATAATGAAGGACAGTTACATCTGCATATTTGTTCTCATGTGCTGCGCTTGAGAGAAAATCTCCTGTTGTCATCCCCGCTCCAACAAACACAAAACATGTTTTTAGATTTCATTTTTGTTTTTAGAACATGTTTTTAGTAACAGCCCTGAAATGAAAAACACAGCACTTCATTATTACAACCATAATAATTTTTGCTTTCAAATTTAAAATCACTCCTCAAAAATATACATTTATGTTTGTGGGTACCAATGTGAAAAAAGGATAAAAAACATTTCTTGCCATCAGCAGGAAATCTTTTTTTTAATTGATTGAGTATAGTAGAGAAAAGCAAATTGATTCTACAGCTAAAATCTATATTCTACCCTTAGATTTGCGACTAAGACTTTTAAATTAAAGCCTTTACAATCACAGCTGGCATGCACAGACCGTTTGTCCTGTCCTCAAATAGCTTATTGGAAGCAAGCAGAAAAACTATTTTTGAAGTGTTTTAATTTTATCGAAATCAAACAGTCTGGCAGCTGACTCCTTGCAGCCGGGGAAACGTAAACTTAACAATGCAGACATTTACCCAATCCCTTTCTATTTCCCACCTTGCCTGTTAAAAATCAATGCCTTTTCAACACCCTGCAAATGGAAAAGATCACATAATGGGAGTTTGAGGGGACAATCAAAAGCAAACATGTATACAACTCAAGTTTGTCAAATTTTTATGTGCACCATGTGTTACAGCTTTGAGCTAATCTGATTTCTCATGCCATGGTGCCTGAGGAAAAGCAAACAAATTACTGATTTGATGCCAAGAGACAAAGAGACTTTGAAATCAACTCATCCAGGCGCTTGTACTCATTTGGACTGCGAAACCTGGGGTGCCTCTGTGCTCTTCTTCCCCAGCCTCATTTAATGGGCAAATGATGCTTGAACGAGGATTTTGTAAGCTGGGATGAAAAGACAACTGTTTTCTTTCTTTACACGGCATAACAAACCATATGTCACACACGGAGGATTTATAGTAAAATGAAATGCCCAAAATGCTGTGACCCACAAATAAATGTGTTGCAAGTTCAATCAAATAAGAGCATCACTAGTGATGTCGTCTCCCTGAGTCTGGCACAGTGCTGTGATTGACTTGCAGCTATAACAAAGTAGCACCTGGCAGTTGAGCCCATTGTAATGGCCCTTCTCATGCTGCCAGTGAAAACTAATAATAGCCAGTACGGTGTGTTTTCCAATGTGTGTGCTCCTGACCCATCTATATGCAAGCATGAATTGCAAATCCTTGTGCCGCCTCTTAGCATTGTAACTTTAAAGCCGTCAGCAGGCTCATTACCTGTCTTTGCAGAGGTCCTTTGAAACCCAAATTAGCTGCCATGCGAAGTGCCTGGTCGTCTCGCACCCCTTCAAATATATCTATGACTTCCTGCGAGGAGAGCAGAGAACAAGAAGGGGAAAAAATATGAAACAGCTTAAGAAAGGGAGTGAGAAAGAGAAAGATACACAAATGCTGGACTATAGCATGAAAAAAAGCAAAACTATGGCAGCTTGTTAGAAGTTTAGAAAAGTATTTAAAACACACGTGTCAATAAGACTTTGGCATCTTTAGATTTCGATTAATGAGGATGTTTTTACAATCAAAATGGAGTTTTCTGGGTTTATGGTTCAGTTGAGAAGTAATAGTCAGCCAGTGAGTACAACTCTTCCTGTTTATTTTTGTTTCCAGTGGTGGCTTAAAGGTTAAGGAGGGTATTATTTTGTACATTATTTTAAAAAGATCAAGCTCTGAATCATGTTGAATTGACCAAAGTTGGTGGCTGCTTAATGAAATTGTTTCTCCTTAGGGTCATTCATCTTTCACCTTTTTGAATCAGACATACCAGAAACATAACTGATGAGCTAAGATGGTGCTCACCACCATCTTATGTCGATTATGTTAAACTGTGACAATTAAAATAAAAAGAGAAAAACAAGGTAGCTTCTTATAAAGCCTAAACTGTGATATGATATGGAGATTTTATAAGCCTTAAACTGAACAACACTAGCCTTAGTTCATTAATTCATTTAAACTGAGTTTCTTTTGTTGTTTTTGGCTGACAAACGCAAGAGGGATTTCAACTGTCTTTTTAAAATGTATTTACCATCAATTTATTTTCAAGTTATTTTTTTTTTTACCCATGGACAATCGCTACGAGCCAGAATACTTTATCCTTGAGTACCAGGGATGCATGTTATAGTGATGTTGGCATCTAATTCAGCAATTATTATTATTTTTTTTTTTATACATTAATGTCTTTGAGCCCTTTATAAACAATGCACTAAAATGCGATCTCTCTAACTACCTATATATATATATATATATATATATATAAATAGCAGCGTATTGTCGTACTCTTGTGTTCTCAAATATAGGAAAGCATTCAATAAATGGGCTAATTTTTGGAAAGCTACACCCTTGCACAAAGCGCTAAGCTGATGCTTACAGCCTAAGTAAGTACGAGTACCACTCCTATACTATACATTTCTCAGCCAAGAAGACTAGAAAAAAGAAAGAGACACAAAACTCATGTGCCAGGCTCATAATACTTATTTAATCTTCTAAAAAAATAAAGAACCATCAAACCAATTTCTTTCATTGCACCATTTCCAAAAATGATCCATTAGTCTAAAAGCAGTCCATCAGAGCTGTGAATCCCAAACTTTAAGCTACACTCACCTTTGACCTTGGAAGCTGAATAAGTATGTGTGACAGCATGGAGGCATATGTGGTGCTTAAAGTTGTCCATCTGTTAACAGAGGCAGGGACTTGCCAAGCAGCTCCCATTGATGATGTATTAAAGCAATATAAAACATCAACAGCTTTTTAATCTATTCGTTTATTGTGAGCTCCAACAAGCTGCTGAAGAGACGTAGTGGATGAGCTTGAAATCGCTCTTTAGATTTTGTCTTAGTAACTTTGCCAAACGTTAAATGAAAATAATAAAAAAAGAAATTCCACAACTTTTCAAAAGGAAATGTGTTTTAAAGGATTGATATTAGGTCTGTAAGAAATGTCCAAATGTTTGTCAATTCTGCACTACGCATACATCCTGTTGGTCGTTCAATACTGAATAATGAGTACGGTAGAATCTGGAACTAACATACCTTAAAGATAAGTTCTGGTGTGGCGGCAGCCACCTCCTCGATATCCATCCCTCCCTGGGGGCTTCCGACCATTACTGGACCATTGCAGGCCCGGTCCATCAGGATGGCAAAATATGTCTCCCTGCTGATATCCAGAGCCTCAGCAACCATCACCTAGATATGAGATAGAAAGAATGAAGTGGCAGAAAGCAGACAAGATGTCAGGGTGACGTCAAGTTTTCAACTTCTACAACTACCTCTCAATAAATCAAGAAATTGATTAATTTCTGCCATTCAGTTTTAAAAAAATGAACTAAGCTTTTTGTTGTGGATACCTGACAGTTGTGTTTGACAGTTGCAGGAAGAGAAGATGAGCACTGCTAAATAAGCTAACCATTCACAGGATTCTGTGCCGAAGCATATCAATGAAAGTTTGGTGGAAGGACATCTGCAGTCTTGAATGGACTGAGGAAAACCTCATACAAAAGTCGACAAAGGCTGTGTCCGAACGTCTGCCCTAACCCCTAAATCCCTCAATCACTATATAAAGTGGGGACCATATAGTGGACTTTGTAGTGAACTTAAATAACAGAGCGTTCGGACAGATGATGACTACTTTTCGCTCCGGGCTGGTAATGGAACTCCACCTCCCCACACAGTGCCTGCCCCATCTTTGTTATTTGTTGCTGCTGTCGGGCAGCGACAGCCTATCACAACAACGTGCCACTGTGACAACAAATCCTCTACGTACGGATGTTTCTGCTCATCTAGTGACCATTGATCATCACTACATTTCAAGGTGCATTGTGGGAAATTTTTGAGTCCAATACCCATTTATCCACTAGACGTTTGGACACTCATTTAAAATGGTATAACCACTATATAGTGCCCAACATAGTGACATTCGAACACAGCCAAAGAGTCACGGGAGTAGAGCTGGAATCTGTCCTTCAAGACAAACTGTCATGGATTCCTTACTTAATTCTGTGTTGCCACAGGCGGAGCTGCCTCGATACTTCCACCCAACTTTCAAGGAATCAACCAACCAAATTCAATACGTAAATAAATAGGTAACCATACTAACAGCAGGAGCTTTGGAGGAACACTTCAAGGAAATTAGGGAGCAAAAAGATGAAAAACAAGGGGAAAAGAATGCTATGAGTAGTCATACAGAAAGCAAACAAAAGAGGGAGGCAAAGGAAGGATTGAAGGAATTTGCTCTTTTGTGGTTAAGAAGAAGCAGGTTCTCTTGGTGTCCTGTGTGTTCAAACAAGTAAACTTCCTTCTGTTTCTTACCCAGAAAATGAGAATGGACAGCTTTCTCTAACCTTGAAGGACTTGGACTCCCATTTATTCGTCACTAAAACACTCTCCCTGGCTCACTTTCATTTCACTGGTTCCACACAAACTAAACATATGTTTTCCCCCTTGGTTCTCCTCCATCCTCATTTTCTGGAATAAGTCTGACATTGAGCTGTCCTTTGGCGTTTCTCGGCCACATCCTACACCCCCTGCCTCGCCCTACCCTGCGTCCTCTCTTGTCATCCATCTATCAGTGTCACGTTGCTGATGCTCCCTGCTCTGAGGTGTGTGTTGATGGTGGTTGCAAGTAAAAAAAGAAGCACCAAAAACCATCAGAAATGGTTGCTTTTAGTCAAACTACACTGAATCTGTAGGCAATTTCTCAAGGTCAATAATATGAGGCTTGATCTTTTTGTACGATAACCAAAGTTTCTGGGTATCTATTTACACTAGCTGTGCAGTTAAAGAGCATCTCTTTTCTCAAAGTAAAAATGTGTCCCATTCCATTTTAGCTCCACCTCTGAAGAAAATTGAACTTGCAGACTCTGCAGCGAGAGTAGTGGTGTAGTGGGACAATGGGAGAAAGAGTAAAAGAAGAGGAGTGCAGGAGCCACACACACAAACAAACAAAACCTGAGAGGGCTTCATCACCTGGACATGTGGATTTAGAGGTACTGCATGCAGCATGTGAACAGAGAAAATTGTATCCTTGCTCGTTAGTGACACACAGAAACAGTTTTATACCAAAAACTTTAAATTTAGGTCTGGGTTAAATTATGCAACACGGCAAAATACGAAGCAACACAAACTAGCGGTCAATAGCGGATGGTTACTGTTTATGTAGGAGAGGGAACTAGAGGCCAGGTTGTGTAAACAGAAATTAATTTTACAGAGCAGCATCGCTGAGCTCAGATTGCCTTAAAAAGAGGTCAAGGAAGAAAAAAAAGTGAAGAAAAACAACATAATGAAAACATTAAAAAGGAAAGAAAGTCTATTTTCTCCTCACCGTTTTCACTTTCACTCCATCTTTGGGTGTCTGCTTGGTAATCAGGTTGAAACCGAGCATCTTTTTAGCCAGCTCACCAACAACTGCAGGGCTGAATGGGAGAGATTATGCTTCAAACAACATCAATCATTGTGGCGGTAGATTTTTATGACTTCCTAACAGCTTTGTACATAACCCTGTCTCACTCTGGGAATTACTGCATCATACAGGCTCTTCCTGAAGTTTTTATACACTTCAAACCACATTTTGCCAAATTACGACGGGGGTTGCACAAATTGACGCAAATATATCATCCCTGTAACACTGCTGTGCTTGATACTTTAAATAAAAACCTGTTTCAAGTGTAATAGGTTTAAACTTTTTCTGCCCCTGTAATAATAAACCCACGGGATGGGTCTCCCTGCCGTAGATGCTCACACCTGACACCTCTGATAAAGTCCAAAACACACAGCTAAGAAACACAGGTGCAAAAAATGTCATAGAATGGTTTTCTAATATGGTGTAGTGGGAGCTACAACCACATACTTTCTTTTTTTTAAATATGTAACAGACAGATACAAAGGGGTGCATTATTTTAAAGTGGAAGGAAAAAGACGACCAGAAATATAGCCTGTATTTAGCACTATTTACTATAATCCAGTTTAACAGACTCCCTTTAGCATTTATCAAATTATTAAATAGAGTCCAATCTCTTTGTACTTAAATTCAGAATAATTCCAGATGTTCTGTGGAGAAGTCAATGGTTTGTTAGAGAACATTAGAGACGAACAATCACAGAAAACAGCAGACGGGCTATGTTGATCCACCAAAAGAAACAGCTGTGCAAGGAGAAAATGTTAATCGACATAATCAAAGAGATCCATAGCTCAGGTGGAAATAATCTGTAGAGAGTCTTAAAGGCACAAAATTATTATTTGTGGATGAATTGGGAAAGGAAAGCAATTAGAAGGCATATATAGCAGGATAGGAAACTAAGCAAACATTAAAAAAGGTTCTCTCAATAGAAGAGCCTAGAATATAAACTTTATTGCGTCATTCTGATAATTCCCTTTAAACATATGAAAAGTTTTTAAAAATCAGTTGCTAAAAACCAAATTCAGGATTTTGATAATGATGAGCTATGATCATTTAATTTCAATCTTTGTTTGTTTTCTGCTTTACCATTTCGCTAGCCTCACCAACCAGGCTGATTACCGGGACCATAATTCAGTCCCGTAAACCACCGTTGACTCCGGCCAGCTCTGGCTGGACCAATCACAGTGTGGGAGACGGGAATTTACGATGCGCGACTCAGCGCCAGATTTATCTCTAATGCAGCAGTGCCTGGTTGAACTGTAAAGTGCCTTGAGATGACATGTGTTGTGAATTCGGCGCTATATAAATAAACTGAATTGAATTGAATTGCTTTTCTGCTAGCATAACATGAAGACGGTGACCACAACAGAGCAATGTTGCAATGACAATCAAGAACTTAGTAGAGAGTAGTCTTGCACCGATACCAGTATCGGGCGGGGCCCCGATCCAGCACTAAAATGGTGGTATCGGTATCGGCGAGTACCGACAAATAGGGCACTGATACTATTTTGAGAGCCGAAAGTTTATTCAACTATTGTCACCCATTACAGGTAGGCAATAAAAAGTTCTAATGGATTCACTTTGTATTAGTATTTTTCCTGCTTCCCAAAGGTAGGCAGCAGCTTGACAAAGTCATGATGGCAATTATTTTACATCCAAGTAGTATGCAGTTCTTCATATATACACACACACATCAATTACAAACAGATGGCATCGGTAAGGTATCGGCCAATACTGCACAGCCAGGTATCGGGGCCAAAAAATGATATTGGCGCAACACTAGTAGAGAGCATACCTTAAAGCTACAGTGTGTAATAATTACAGGGATATACAGTCAGAAATGTAATATATTATACATAACTATGTTATTTATCATCATCTACGAGCGCTCTAATTACATAAGAGCGGGTCTCGCAGCCATGGAGGCAGACATCTTTGCGCTACGGCCACGCAGAGCCAACAAACCAGCGATTGCGAGATCGCCAAAACGTCACAACGATGTAGAAAAATAACGGGTATATTTATTATCTTAAGTCTACATGAAATCTATACCCTACACAGACTAATGAAATACTATCTGTAAAATTATCTATGTAAACAAACCTCATCACTTGAGAAGGTAGGTAATGCGGACGTCGTGGAAGACATTTTGTCCCGTAACGCTCGCCGTACTGTTGGGGGGGAGAAGCGGTGGGGGGGAGATGTTCATGTTGCTGCAGTCTGCAGTCTGACCGCTAGATGTCGCTAAAAGTTACACACTGTAGCTTTAAATCCTCAGTTAATTAAGTGTGAAATACAGGAGTAATGCTCTTTTATTTGAATTATACATCACTTTGTGTTGGTTTATCGCATAAAATCACAAAACTTACAAGATTCGAGCTTGTATTTTGAGAAAATATGAAAACATTTCAGGGTGTGAATAATTATGCCCTATATGCAGAAATCCCTGTTCTTGAGGACCCTAATACAGATGGCTGTAAATAAGCTTCTCTTCATGCTCTCCACCTACAAGCTAATAGCAAACCAGAGCTGCATCCCCAAACCTGCTCTGGTTTCATAAGAGAATACAAATTAAGCTGGGAGGATGCTTCCATTCTTTGATAAATGGCAGCGAGGTGAACAGCGCACTCATGTCAATGTCTAGGGATGATGAACTTCAGAATGTCTCACTAAAGAAAAAAAAAAACTTTTCAAGGATTTTAAACTGCAAAGGAAGGTGTTGCTCATGCACGCCTGAGAAACGTTTCATGAATCACCTTCTTTTTAGCCTTTAAGGCCACAGTAAGTGGTAGCTACATTTGATAAAAAGTCAACACTTTTTCAGGTGGTGGCAGTAAAATGGGCTGCCTAGGCAAAGAGAAAGCTTTTTCAAGAGGTGGTTTAGACCCCCGAAAAATGCAGATTATTAAACACTAGGTCATCGGAAGAACATATTCAGCACACTTTGTGGCGAAGAGTTCTACAGTTAACCTTTAAGCTGCTTTTATACATTTAAATTATAATGAGTTGTTCAAAAAAATGAAGGAAGGAAAAGAAACATTTGCAGCAAAAGAAATCCCGACAGCGTCTTTGTGCTTAAGTAGCATCTTCATAGAGCTCACCATAAAAGCTGCTGCCACTGGGGAAAATAACATGAATCTATCTCTCACAGGAAGTCACTTTGAAAATCACATAAGGGAAGACTTACTCCTTAGTTAAGTGCACTCCACCTTTAAGGCCACTGTTGAACACGCCTTTGCCTCTGCCACCAGCCAAAATCTGAGCTTTCAGGACTATTTCCTTGGCATCTGAAAGACGATGTAGAAAAGAAAAGGGAGAAATCAGAGGGAGTTAGAAAGACAACACCCTGAGTCAGTTACTTGTTTTTCTGAAAACACAGGCAAAATCAAATGTGGAATATAAGAATACAGTAAAAAGGATCATTCTCCTTTGCAGAGCTTTCCCTCAAACTCAAAACATATTTTGGAAATGAACATCATATCTCCAAAACGAGAGCTTTAGATCAGAAAGTATACGGTAGGACAGAAGATCTGACTTTTTGTTAATGCTGCAATATGAACAGATCAGACGGGATGACACAGACAACTATTAAACTGGTTTAACATCAGAATTACTCTGTTCAGAATAGACCAGTTTGCGTAACTCATTCCATGATTACAGATTTGTAAATATCAATAAAAAAATATCTAAAGAGCCATGCCATGAACTGCAAATCTATTATATTTCAAAAACAGAATATCTTAAAATCTTAACATGGAACATAATTAAAATCAAAATCTGTCCCTTTAATGTTTGTCAAAACAAAATGTCAAAACACTTCCTCCCACTGTTGTTTTCATACAGCTGAATAATGATTACATCTATATTGCAAGATTGTTTAATCATATAAAGCTGCTGACAGGTTTAATGAAAACAAATGTCTTTTGGACATGTCAATAATGTATGGATGGATAAGCTTAATTGTAGACGTTTCTCACAAATAGCTTCAAACTGATGTCTGACCTTTAGAGCAAAAAATATGGATAGAAAGCATTTCAAATGTTTTTCCAAGAACACATAAAAACTCAGGTAAACTGTTTTAATTTCACATTGAAACATTTCAACGACAGAAATGGCAATCAGAAAGATAATGATTTCTACAAATAGGTAGTACTTTTGAGCACAACAGAAAATGAAGAAATTACCAGATTATTAACATCTTAGCAGATGCCTCTAATATTTGTCTATTTCTATTCAACTCGAAACAAATAAATTTATCGATGAAAACGATCTGTTGCTCAATGCTTATGCATTCCCACTTATTGTTGTTCACTTTTTATTTTTCTGACTCTAACTAGTCCTGCAGTTTTCAACCGATTTCAACAATTTTGGTATCAAAACGTTCAGCTTGTTCAGGAGAACCCTGCTATGTCTTTTGCTAAATATTTTTTTTGTAGTTTTCGCGATATTCAGCTTTTTCTGCGTTTTTTTTTTTTGTCCCATTGAAATGCATGTAGAAAATCTTACATTTCAGCAAATTGCAGCTAAAACTTCATCATCTTTAACTACTTCAGCATACTTTCAGCTAGAAACACCATTCAACTTTTAAAATGTTTCCGTATCTTTCTGCTATTACTGTTT